GCTCACTGCGGTTTTGTGTCGACTTTCGGCGTCTGAACAAAATCTCTGTGGCAGATGCGTACCCGCTTCCTCGAATGGATGAGTCGCTCGATGCCTTGGCGGGGGCGCGATTCTTTTCCACCCTCGATTTGCTATCTGGATTCTGGCAGCTTCCTCTGGATGACGAATCAAAACCTAAGACTGCTTTTCGGACACCGCAGGGTCTCTTCCAATTTAACCGCTTGCCGATGGGTTTACATTCTGCGCCGGCAACTTTTCAGCGGTTAATGGAATTGGTCTTGGCAGGGTTGCAATGGGATTCGTGTTTGATTTACTTAGACGATGTCATCGTCTTTAGCAAATCCTTCGAGGAACACCTCCAGAGGTTGCGTGCTGTTTTTCCTCAAAATGCGGGCTGCCAATTTGAAATTTAAACCACAGAAGTGCCATTTACTCCGCGAATCGGTGCGATATTTGGGTCACATTGTTGGGCGCTCGGGGATATCCACTGATCCCGCCAAAACGGAATGCGTCAGCTCCTGGCCGACTCCCACCTCTGTGGGAGAGGTCAGGAGTTTCATTGGGTTCGCGTCGTATTATCGGCGATTTGTGGCTGACTTCGCTACGATTGCGAAACCTTTGCATGCCTTGACGTCCAAGGGAGTCAGGTTTCATTGGGGGCCGGAGGAGGAGGCTTCTTTTCGCGCCCTCCGGAATGCTTTGGTGGGGGCTCCGCCGTTGAATTACCCGGATTTTTCACAACCCTTCTTGCTCGATACAGATGCAAGTAACACGGGCATCGGGGGCGTGCTGTCCCAGCTCATTGGGGGCGTAGAGCATGTGGTGGCTTACGGTAGTCGGGTACTGTCTCCAGCCGAACAGCGGTACTGCGTTACCCGTCGGGAATTATTGGCGATTGTTTATTTCATTCAGCAGTACCGCCCGTATCTGTACGGTCGGCGGTTCACCGTCCGTACAGATCATGCGGCCCTACAATACGCCCTGCGGGTTCAACAACCATCGGGCCAGTTGTCTCGATGGTTGGAGATTCTCCAAGACTATGACTTTGTCACCACATATCGTAAGGGTCTCCGCCACACGAACGCTGACGCCCTGTCGCGATTGCCACCCACTTCGGAGTGCGCGTGCCTCTTGGGTTCGGGGCGTTGTAGGTCTCCGAACGTCACCACCGATTCGGTCCTCGTGGCCGCTGCCGATGCGCCTTCGGTTTCGGGTCCTATCGAGCAAGAAGGGAGGGATTCGTTGCTGGGGTTGTCAGTCGCGGAATGGGGTCGCCTCCAAATGGAGGACACCTCCCTCCTCGCTCTGCGCCGTCGCGCCGGGGGGATTGGCCAGGGGGTGGAAAACGTTGACTCGTGGGGGTTGTTCCAGGGACTTTTAATGCACTGGGATGGTAAAACCCGGCGCCAGCGGCTCGTGGTGCCTGCTGCTTTAAGGGGTAAGGTGGTATGGGCTGTTCATGAGCGGCTTCTGCACTTGGGGGTTCATAAGACCTTTGCCACGCTCCAGCTAGATTTCTTCTGGCCGGGCATGGAAAAGGACGTGGGGGACCTCTTGGGGTCGTGCACGCAATGCGCGCAGAGGAAGCCACCTGCTAGGGGGTCCAACCCTCCGCTGCAGTCCATAAAAGTTTCCAGGGTTAACGAGCTCGTCGCTCTGGACATACTTGGCCCATTTCCCGCTACACCCAGGGGCAATAGGTATTTACTAACGGGGGTTGAATACTTCACGAGATGGCCTATGGCCTGGCCCCTGGCGAACCAGTCGGCAGCAGCCATCGCGGAGGCCTTTGTCCAGGGCTATGTCCTCGACAAGGGTGCTCCGGAACGGCTGCTTACTGACCAGGGTAGGAATTTTTCTGGTAAACTCCTACGTGAGGTGTGCGACCTCTTGGGTACGGAGAAGGTTCGGACCTCTCCGTATCACCCACAAACTGACGGGATGGTGGAACGGCTGCATCGGACCATCACGTCCATGCTGTCCCAGCAGGTGTCGGTATCCCAGACGGATTGGGACCTCCGCATAGCCGGTGTGTTGCAGGCCTACAGAATGGCTCCCCATGCGGCCACCGGATTTTCCCCTTTCTTTTTAATGTATGGGCGCGAAGTTAACCCTCCTGTGGCGACCCAGCTGAAGCTCTCGGCGCTCCAGGCGAAGTCTAATTTGTCCGAACACGTTAAATTTAACATCGCTCAATTGTCTGAGGCGCGGGAAGCGGCCGTGCAAAATTCTGAACTCCGCCAGAAGGCGAACGAGAGGCTTCGGTTGGGGCGGGTGCAGGTGGTCAAATGGGTACCAGGGGACAGGGCGTGGTTGCACTGTCCTCAGGTGCCGCTGGCAACCTCGTCGAAATTGGTACGGCCGTGGCGGGGGCCAGTGGAGGTCGTGCAGGTTTTGCGGCCGCAATGTGTTCGCGTCAAATGGGGGAGGCGCCGGTGGTATGTGCACCCCTCAAGGTTAAAACCATTCGTCACGCCGCCCCGGGGTTCACACACACACACGCATGGCCAAACGTGTGAGGGTGTCGCCGACTCCCCGTCGTCGCTGCACTCGCCTAACCTGACGCCAACTGTTCCGTCCCCAGGTGAAACAGGAGTGACGGGCCCACGCCCACCAACCCCTCCCGGAGGGGTCGGGGGTCACTCGGCAGCGGAGCCTGACCCTCTTGCACCCGGGCCGTCAACAACCGTCACTGAGCGTGCCGGGACGGGCCCTTGTGACGGACCCGCCGCGAGAACGCGCGCCAAAACGCGCAGACTTTTGTGAGGTCGGCCGTTGGGGGGCCTTGCGGACAAAAGGGGAGGGGTTTTGTGAGGTCGGCCGTTGGGGGGCCTTGCGGACAAAAGGGGAGGGGTGTTGTGAGGTCGGCCGTTGGGGGGCCTTGCGGACGATGGGAAAGGTGACGTCCGGAGTGTATATATATGTTGGTTTTGGGGTGTTATCCGGGGGGGGTGCGTCGGGTTATTTTTTTCTCTCTCTCTCTCTTCCTCTCGTTGTTCTTGTTGAAGTTTTCTTGTTCTTGTTAAAAATTACGCGAGGCACACACGGGGTTTTTGTGAGGGATGCACCTTTATTCTGATTTTTTTTTTGCAGCCGGGGACGGCTGCGAGCTGTACAGGGGGGGGTGATGTAGAGGTGTAATTGCGCATGTCTACGAATGTTGAGGTGTGATTATGCATGGCCACGGATGGCCAACAAACACAAGGGGCGGGGTTACGGCCGTACACAAGGGTGGCGCTCGCACCGACGTCCGCATGTGTATCCCCCACGGGCCCCCCCCTTGGGGGCAAGTCCTATAAAAGGTGATGAGCCGAAAGGCTCGGGAGTCGGGACTCAGCTATAACCAGAGAAGACGGAAGACCAGCTAGTGTAGGCCCCAGAGCTCCCCTGGCTCGCTGTCCTTATAAGGGCCGACCAGGGCAAGCCGGTGGCGTGGCCCCGAGAGCCCAGACGAAGCTGGTCTGGTGACTCAGGGAGCCGGGATCCCAGCTTAACCAAGCTGGGACAGATAGCCTCCCCTAGTCCCGTAGTGGAGGAATTGGTATAGGTTAGAGGGGTTAGCTGTCGAGAAATCCCTGTAGCCCAGTGACCTGTAAATAACTGTGTTGGTGTAATAAATAAGTGTGCCTCCGATCCTGTCGTCAAGCCTCCATATACTTACTACACAAGCAAGCGAGTGAACTTAATATAAAGGATTTAACAATTCCAATTAATTCCCCCCCCAACCCCCCATCGCTCGTGGCTTACTGGGTTGACGAACAAATTTATGAAGACGCAAAACCCTTTGTGTGTCTTTCACACCCGCCAAGCATTCGATGGGTTCGTAGCACCGATGCCAATCGACATAACACAGCTGGCGAGCGAAGCGATGGATCCACGATGTGTACACGAGTTTATGTTGCTGGGTAGTGAAGTGTTAAGTTCTAATTGCTGATGCCTCAGACGTATAGAAAATGGCTATTCCCACAAACTTTGCATCTGTGACCACCAGGACTTTGCGTGAAGGAATGACACAATGGATAGCGCGTTTTCTCATTGACAATAGGTCGATTTCAAAATATCAATGTCCTGGTCACAAAAGCAAAGTTTGTGGGGCAGAATAGACATTGTCTGTACTTTGGAGGCATAGGCAATTAGGAAATAACACTTACTACCCAGGAACAAAAACTTGTTTTGCTACACCTGACCGTAGCCATGGAGTCAACATTGGGGGGGGGGGGGGGGGGGAATTTTCCAGGGGGTCCCAACACAAAAAAATCTAAATTTTAAAACTAATTTCGTGCATAAAATATTAAAAAAATGCACCAACACATGGGATGGACTTGTTATGTATGTTTGACAATAATGTCTAATAGTGTCTTGTATTACATTGCTCTGGTTATACTTTTTTTGTACCATTTCTTGTTTCATTGTATGTAATGGCAGAGATTAGGGATTCAAAAAGTACAACCATAATCATATGAACAAAAATCTATGCATTCATTTATATGAAGACAAGTCCACATTGTGGCCAAGGTTTAGCAAATTGTTTTTTTTATTTTTCTCTCTCACAGCTCCGTCAACGAGCCCTTCCCCCCCTCCCCTCGCGTGACGCGTCAGACTGCGATGCCCCCCCCCCTCTCGCCCACCTCCCCCCTCCCTCCCTCCCTCCCACCTCCCCTCCCACCTCCCCTCCCCCCCCCTCTCACCCCCCCCCCCTCTCGCCCACCCCCCCTCTCGCCCCCCCCCTCTCAGCCACCCTCCCCTCCCTCTCACCTCCCCCCTCCCTCCCCTCCCCCCCCTCTCACCCCCCCCCCGCCTCACCCTCCCCGCCCCCCCCTCTCACCCCCCCCTCACCCTCCCCGCCCCCCTCTCACCCCCCCCCTCACCCTCCCCGCCTCCCCCTCTCACCCCCCCCTCACCCTCCCCGCCCCCCCCCTCTCACCCCCCCCTCACCCTCCCCGCCTCACCCTCCCTCCCCTCCCTCTCACCCCCCCCTCACCCTCCCCCCCCCCTCTCACCTGTGGCCGCGGTGCTGTGGGCGCAGGCGGTGAGAGCGAGAGAACAGGCGACGCAGATGCCGGACGGGAACAACAACCCCCGAGGCGCCATCATCATGATCACCATCACCACCACCATCACCACCATCACCACCATCACAGTCTCCTCCTCCTCCCTCCTCTGAACGACACGGCGGACGTGGCGATGATGGCGGCTCTCCACACTCCTCCTGCTGCTGCTGCTGCCTCCTGCTGCTGCTGCTGCCTCCTGCTGCTGCCTCCTCCTGCTGCCGCCTCCTCCTGCTGCCGCCTCCTGCTGCCGCCGCCTCCTGCCGCCGCCTCCTGCCGCTGTCTCCTCCTGCCGCTGCCGCCTCCTGCCGCCGCCGCCTCCTGCCGCCGCCGCCTCCTGCCGCCGCCTCCTCCTGCCGCCGCCTCCTCCTGCCGCCGCCTCCTCCTGCCGCCGCCGCCTCCTGCCGCCGCCGCCTCCTGCCGCCGCCGCCTCCTGCCGCCGCCGCCTCCTGCCGCCGCCGCCTCCTGCCGCCGCCGCCTCCTGCCGCCGTCTCCTCCTGCCGCCGCCGCCTCCTGCCGCCGCCGCCTCCTGCCGCCGCCTCCTCCTGCCGCTGCCGCCTCCTGCCGCTGCCTCCTCCTGCCGCTGCCTCCTCCTGCCGCTGCCGCCTCCTGCCGCTGCCGCCTCCTGCCGCTGCCTCCTCCTGCCGCTGCCTCCTCCTGCCGCTGCCGCCTCCTGCCGCTGCCGCCTCCTGCCGCTGCCGCCTCCTGCTGCTGCCTCCTGCTGCTGCCTCCTCCTGCTGCCTCCTGCTGCTGCTTCCTGCTGCTGCTGCCTTCTGCTGCGGGAGATGAACCTGCAGGGCCGCCTCGTGCCGCGTCTCGCTATTTATACCCCGCGGGGGGTGAGGTGGGGGCTGGGGGGGAGATGTGGGGGGGAAGGGGGCGGGGCTAACAGGTGTGGGGGGGGGGTGAGGTGGGGGCTGGGGGGGAGATGTGGGGGGGAGATGTGGGGGGGAGGGGAGGGGGGTGACGGGGCGGGGCTAAGAGGTGTGGGGGGGGGGGCTGGGGGGAGATGTGGGGGGGGTGACGGGGCGGGGCTAACAGGTGTGGGGGGTGAGGTGGGGGCTGGGGAGCAGTGGGTGGGGGGAGGGGCGGGAGAGGGGCGGGGCTGGGGTGAGTGAGTGGGTGGAGATTCGTCACCACCACCAACAACAACACCACCACCACCAACAACAACAACACCACCACCACCAACAACAACAACAACCGCGAAGCCGCCTCTCACGACGTCTGCACGCCGCCATTACACGAAGAAGTCGACACCGCGGCTCCTGCTGCTGCTGCTGCTGAGAGCCGAGGCTGCTGTTGTTGTTGTTGGTGGTGGTAGCCTTGACAGGCTGTTGGGGCAAGTGCTGTTAGCGAGTAGCAGCACCTATGAAGGCCGGCACGGCACACGAGGGGGTGGGTGGCCAGCACCACACCCGACCGCCTTTGTCTCCCCAGTTGGCGATGTTTACGCACCGCACCAGGTACTCATTCGAGGCCCAGTCGACCTAGGGGAGGCCCGGGACCGGTTCAGAGAATCGTCGCTGGTGTGGGTGGCGGGAATGGAACTGCGAGTGGAGCGGGTTCGTAACGCCGACGCGCTCACCGCTCCCGGGCCTCCCCTAGGTCGACTCAGCCTCAAATGAGTAACTGTTGTGGTGTGAACATCGCCACTGGGGAGACAAAGGCGGCCGGGTGTGGTGAATCCGAGTCCTGGGCGAACCCGGGTAGTACGGTTAGTTCTGAATCAACCGAGTAGAGGTCACAGCAGATACCTGCTGGCATTGACTTGATATCAAACCTATGTCGGGTCTAAATTTCGATGTAAAGCTTTCGTGACTGCAGGGATTCATCTTCTTGGTTCTTTCGGTAAAGTCACGTAGAAGGGAAATAATAAAATAATAAAAATAAAACATAATGAAATAATTCTCACGACGTTTCGGCCACAACGCAAGCAGCCGTCCTCAGGTGAAGAACATGTCTGTCAGATGCTGTCTTTCCACCACCATCATCACCATCACCACCCTCACCACCACAACCATCACCACCACCAACACCACAACCCTCACCACCACCATCATCACCATCACCACCACCATCATCACCACCACCATCATCACCACCACCATCATCACCATCACCACCATCACCATCACCACCACCATCACCACCATCACCACCATCATCACCACCACCATCACCGCCACCCTCACCACCATCATCATCACCATCACCACCATCATCACCATCACCACCATCATCACCACCATCACCACCACCATCATCACCACCATCATCACCACCATCATCATCACCACCATCATCATCATCACCACCATCACCACCATCATCATCACCATCATCATCACCACCATCACCATCACCACCACCCTCACCACCATCATCATCACCATCATCATCACCACCATCATCACCATCATCACCACCATCATCACCACCATCACCACCATCATCACCATCATCACCACCATCATCACCACCATCATCACCATCATCACCACCATCATCACCATCATCACCACCACCCTCACCATCATCACCACCACCATCACCACCACCACCACCACAACCCTCACCACCATCATCATCATCACCACCACCATCACCACCACCATCACCACCACCACAACCATCACCCTCACCACCACCACCATCACCACCACAAACCTCACCACCACCTCCTCCACCTCCGCTCCCCGTTCTTTGGTACTTGGCGGTGATTTTACCACAGCTAGGTGGTGTGAAGGCTTGCTAAGAGAAGGTTACGGACAGAGCTCGCAAACGGGTTTTGATTTCTTACCCCTCGTACCCGTACCCGGCCGCACCAGGGTCGCAAATGGGTACCCGTTCCCTACCCGTACCCTACCCAAAATGAGTGACAAACGGTGACTCACCGGTGACTCACGGCCTACCCGTACCCGGCCGCACCAGGGTCGCAAACGGGTACCCGTACCCAGCCGGGTATCGGGTAGGGTACGGGTATCGGGTACCCGGTTGCGACCTCTGGTTACGGAACACCCCCCGGTGTTATGGGTTAACATGGTTGAGCTCACTGGCAGATGCGCCAACTCACATTGCTGGCAGATGAGCCCCCTCCTCCCACCCCCCACCTTGAATTGCACAGATCTCTCAAGGATCTTTGAGCTGCTCCACAGTCTGAAGAAACCTAGGATGGATCATTGGCAGGACAGCCTGGATGTTGTTTGCCAGCCCATGTGTTCCGATAAAGGGGGGGGGGGGGGGGGAGTTCACCTTTCGCAAGCAGAGAGAAGAGAATGTGTAGTTGCGGCTGAGAATATCTGAATGTTATTGTCGTTCGCATAGAGCACAGCCGGTTTAAAGACAAATTCTAACGCCAATGGATTTAGAGTGAGGCCTCTGCCACCAAACCAGAGCTGACCATGAGCACACTGCTCAAATCACAGGTGCTCCTTCACCATCTTCACAGCAATCTCAGTACTCATTGAGAGTTGTGGAGTAGTGGAATGTCCGATGACGCTATATATCGGCAGATGTTTTTTTTAGCAGGGTTCTAATCAGAGGTCGCAACCGGATACCCGATACCCGTACCCTACCCGATACCCGGCTACCCGTACCCGGCCGGGTACGGGTACGTGTACCCATTTGCGACTCTGGTGCGGCCGGGTACGGGTAGGCCGTGAGTCACTGGTAAGTCACCGTTTGTCACTCATTTCCCAACGTCTTGTCTCTTCTCACAATTCAAGTTCCTAGCATCAACCCACCCGTGCCTGCAACATGGCTTCATCCCAGAGGTCGCAATCGGGTACCTGATGCCCATACTTTAGTTGTTTACGTGGTGGTTTTAGTTACTGCAGCTACATACTATTAACACTTCTTCCCTTTATTAATGCTACCCCTATCCCCTCCCTTTGATGCTGCTAATCCTGCATAATGCACAGACATAAGTAGTACTAATCACATACCTGCATTTCCCCTATCCCCTCCCTTTGATGCTGCTAATCCTGCATAATGCACAGACATAAGTAGTACTAATCACATACCTGCATTTCCCATAAATATGCTAAATTCCTCTTGATATGCAAATTATTTTGTCAAGACGCCCTTTCCCCTCCCTTCCAACCCAGCTTATATATAGGCTCCAAGCTCGTGTGCTGTTTCATTCAGACGCTGTCGCCTCGACAGACCTGGTTTCACCTGAGGACGGCTGCTTGCGTTGTGGCCGAAACGTCGTGAGAATTATTTTATGTTTTATTTTTATTATTTTATTACTTCCCTTCTACGTGACTTTACCGAAAGAACCAAGAAGATGTTTATGGTTGTCCCATCATATTTGCCGGCCACTAGTCATATTTGACAAGTCAATTGCATCCCCGGCGTTTGGCATTGCTGCTGCTTTGGCAGCTAGTTAGTCACTGGCGATGTTGCCGCAGTCCCACCCACACTCTCCTAGCGTCCACGCAACGCTCCCCTACCCCCCCACCCCCCTCCCTTGCTCCCCCCCCCTTCTCTCACCACCCATATAACCTCCTCCCACTTCAGCAAAACAAATTTCTTTTCCCACCCGATGACGATTGCTTGTGTTGCAAATCGAAACGTCGTGATTTATTTGATTTGATTTCTACCCACGTGACTTTACCGAAAGAACCAAAGAGTATAAATATCGTGAGTTTAATAATAAATAAATATGAGAATAAACGTTGTAGTTACTGTCCGGACCTGCGCGCCTTATTCGTACGTAAATGCAATTGTAAACCACGAGGCAGGTAGAACTCGTAACAGGTTTTATTATTAATCACTGTGGAAAGTCAATCTCA